TATAGATAAATTTGTATACACACATATTACCGAAAAAAAACAAGATGTTGCAGTAGAATAAAAAAAATAACCCGATCTGCTATTGGGAAACAAGTTGATGAAACAAGAATATAAACAGCACAGCATTATTTTGCAAGTTCAGTGGTCGATAAAATGCCCTTGTCAGCAAGTTCAATCTATCATTATGTCGAAAGCTTACTGACCCTTTTTATACCCTTTACACTCTGCATTGTCTACTGAATTTTTGATTGTTCGATCATGGCGAGGAAAACACGGCGAATCTGACCGGCCAACGGGAGATGCTTACTCCTCCATGCTTGGTACTTGATTTAACCTCTGATGTGTTTAGGGTTCCGGTGTTTGCTCTTCCCTCGAGTTGTATTGTTTTAACGTACTTTTGAGTTTGAATACTTTTCGTTATCTAGTAAAGAAGAAAACACTTGCTGTGTCGACATTTAGATATATAACGACGACGTTGACAATTAACAATGGTCATTTCCATTCTTATGTCAATACGATATATCCCAGTGAGCTTGAGATGGAAGATACCGCAGAGTCTGACATATCTGTTTCATATTTTGATATTTTACTTAATGGTAATCTAACAACCAACCTCTATGATAAACGTGATGACTTTAACTTTTCAATCGTCAACTTCCCTTACTTATGCAGTGATATACCTTCATCACCTGCATACAAGGTTTATATCTCTCAGTTCACACGATAAACATGAGCATGATCTACGTATGAACAATTTATAAAAAGAGAATAATTATTGACAAACAAGTTGATGAAACAAGAATTTCAGCAGTCTCATTTCTCATCATTATATCATTTCGTACGATCTATGGCGGATACAATGAACTTGTAGGCAAATAAAATTTATCATTATGTCAAATGCTGACTGATGTTTTTCATACAAATTCTTAGTTCATTATTTATACACTGAATTGACAACGGATTTTCCCGTTATTTCCCGATCATGACACGAAGGATGTGACCGGTCGGCAAGAGATGTTCACTCCTCCATGACACCTGGTCCCATGCACCTCTGATGTTTTGGAGGTCTGTGTTTGCTCTGCTCCTATTTGGTTTTGTTTTACGGACTTTTGATCTTAAATACTGTGCGTTATCTCCATATGTTTCATCCGTGAAATCTATGTATCCGTTTTCGTACTAATCGAGTTTTTACTCACTACCGTATTTCATATAAAAATAATAGGAATATTACCCATTGGGATATCCCTATAGTCTATAAACGATCATTACTACTTTTTAAGTCTCTCCTACAGTTTAGTTTTGCAAATTTTAAGTCTATGAGCATGACTGTAAAAAACTCAAAATTTTAAATATTTTTCTTTCGTCAATACCCACACTTTTAATTTCTCGGCATTTCTGAAGTTTTCATACTTTTTGCTGCTAACTAACGCATATTTCACATCACGCATTTCTAAATTGTGCTACGTGTGCATGTATTTATTAAGCCTTTCTGAACTAGCTGTTTTTATACAGGTGTCTATAATAATATCTCATATAAAGCTTGAAACCGCTTAATATGATAAGTTTGTTGATACAACTGCCTTATCTGATCATAAAACTATTATTTTACCCATGTCCTTTGCAGTCAGGAATTATCCATAGATTTAAAAATTTCAGAGGTATCATTGAAAAACACAATTGGTTATTGTTTAGTAATGTGATGGTTTTGCCCTTCTGTTCAATGCATATAATAATAAAATCCTAACTCTTTCAAACAGGATATTTTTACTGGTGATCGGTAGAGTGAAAATATCATCAAAGCAATAAATTCAGTTTCGAACCAAATTAATAAATAGTTTGTCTTTATTAAACGTTTTATCTAAAAGAAATGATCGAAACCAGTCCTGTCCATAAATTATTCTTTGCTAAATTATGGACCATGAAATAGATATAGCTCCAGTGTCATCGAAACGTTGTGATATTGTTGGGTTTTTATTTTATATAAATTTGCATGTTATATGCCTGCGGCTTTTTTTATTCCTTGAACATTTGTCTTGACTTCAGCGTATGAAAATTTTCATTATTGAATGACCCTTGCACAGAAAATACACCAAGAGTTTTATCCTGAATTTAGGTTAGGTAAAACAAGAAAAATATTTCTCTATCTGGTTTAAATGATTACCAATAAAACCATGTGAAGACTATTTAATAAAAGAAAAGCCGAAAGTGTCGTTCTCTTGTTGACAATAAAACGCATTGTTAAGTATGCTAGCTATATAAAACAGGATTAAGCAAAAAGGAATTAAATGTAACTTTAAAAAAAAATGCAAAATCCCTCAAGAAGGGGACTTTCATTCATTTTATTATTTCCATATTTGGGTCAAATATTATTTAACTTTCATCTCCAGATAGCTTAATCAGCTTTATACATGTCTTTTTTTTGTACTTTTCTGTCCTCAACTTCCCAATATTTATATTGAAATAAACCCTTACCACCTCATATGGCTTTTTTTTTTATCTCCCAGTTGATTCATTACGCAATAGCAATCTCTACTTGAGAACACTATCTAACATGAGGCGAGCTATTGACAAACTAGTTGATGAAACAAGTATTTCAGTTTAATTCATAATTTGGCAAGTTCATCTATCATTAAGTCAAATGCTGACTGGCCTTTCTCATAAGTACATGTATATTTCATAAATCTTGCAATGAAATGTTTTAAGTTGTGCAAAGATAAAGAAATCTCAGAACAGATTTTTTGGAAGGTCTCTGTCTCGATTATATCGTTCATAAAATCTGACTGCTACATTGTCTTCTTGAAAAAAAAAACATTTAGACAGCACATTTTCAACATCTGACCAACTTAGACCCACAATACAGGGTACACTTGGGTAGAAACTTCTTTTTCATTTAAATCATGCACATAATTCGTCTAGTGGATGTCTGCAAGTTACGTTTAAGATGCTATTAAATGAAATATATGGAGATAACGAACAGTATATATATTAAAGCTCAAAAGTCCATTCAGACATTAAAAACCAGGAACAGACCAAACGCGGACCTCTGAACATCAGTGGCGGGATTCTATTTTTTTTACTCCATCACAGAATTCTGCTACTAAAGTATAGTGGTGTATTTGTAATGAAAGCAGGATCAAAGCGAGATTCATTGTCAAAGCAATCTAAGAGCTAACTCGGTCTTCATCTGGAAGTGTATGCTTGTGGCGAGTGGATTACACATTAATCAAATTAGTTAGCTACCGAACGTAATTAATCGTGAGACTTCTATAGCATGACAATTAAGGCATTATACAAAAAAAATCTCTGCTACAATCTTTTCACATTAAGCATTATTGCATTGTCCCTATTGCTGAAATGGCGGAAGTGGTTCTCCTGCTATATGGATGCCCGAGAGCGCGGTCGCCAGCAATCCATCTCATTACGTGTAATGATTGTGATCACGATGACACTGTTGATGATTATCCTGATCAATTCAAAATGTTATCTACATTGTGGATCTAGTCTTAGTCAATCTTCATAACATTTTGTATTGTTATCCTCAACTATAAATAGAAACGTATCTTTATTTTATATTATTTTATTTATTTCATATTTATACTTATTCCTTTATATATATTGTAACAGTTTAATGTAATTCTGTGTCAGATTTTATGTAATTTTAACTCTTACTAATTTTTTAATAAGATATTTTTTTAATATAGTTAAATACCTTTGTATTGTTATGATTTAATTTAGCAAATTTCATAATTGTTTTATTTTCTTTTTTTCCAAACCTTAAAATTTCAAATTAAAACTGCAATTCCCAACATCAGATCTGACGTTTTACTTAAAATAAATTGATATTTTCAACTAAATTCAAATTAAGCAAGGTTGCTGTCATACATGATAAATACTAATATATTATGCAGGTAATTCACTATGTATTGTGCGGGTGCATTTTTATCATCACTTAATTAATCAAGACATTCATCTAATTTATTTGCATAATTAATAGTAAAACACACAAAGCTGAATAACTCCTACATGTATTAATCTGTGGTATACGACTGGTCCAATGTATTAAGGACTGGGCAGAAATGGCTAAAATATTCCATAAACTAAACATTTGTTAAAAATTCATTACCATAAAACTTGACAAATAACAATTAAGCAGACCTATTTGGAATTTATATGAAGCAGTATTTATCAAAAATCTTTTACATTAAAAGAAATCTTTTACCGTGGCTTCATGATCAACTCAATCTTTAGATATATCGACAACGTTTTATCAATTTGAAAACAAAAATCATGAAACATATATTTTATCTTTGGAGTTTACTAGAAAACACGTTAATGTTGACATAAAAACAAAATGTGATCTTTTCAGTGGTCAACTTTCCTTTCTTATAATGCAATATAACCTTATCACCAACATATTGTTGATGATGAGGTTTTTATTCCTAAGTTAATTGCAAACGCAGGGCATGATCTACGTATACGAAAATTTCTAAAACGAGGTATATGTACGGTACTCATTCACAAGTTGATAAAATTAGAATATATACAGTTATTTTCAAGTCATCATTTCGCAAGTTCTGTGGTCGATACAATGACCTTCTCAGCAAATACAATTTAAAATTACGTATATTGATGATTGACTGACTTTTTTTTGTATTTATTATTAGACCATTATATAGATAATAATGAATTATCCTCCATGGCACCTGATCCAACCTGTGATGTTTTTTTAGGTCTGTGTTTGCTTTGTACCAATTTTGTATTGTTTAATGAACTTTTGAGTTTGAATAGTGTTCATTATCTCCACACAATGGATTTTTTGTTAACAGTGACAAGGAGCACAGTGGCAGCTCACTCCTTCATGGCACCTAGTTGTTCCCACCTCTTATGTTTTTTAAAGGTCCATGTTTGCTTTGCTCCTGATTTGCATTGTCTGAATGGACTTTTCAGTGAAATATTCTGAATATTTGCAATCAACCTAACTTTAAAGGTCGTATTTATTGTTCTAATGGACTTTTAAGGTTGAATATTGTTCATTATTTCCATATTTTTTGCCAAAAGTGAAAACAGCTTCAAAATATTAGGCTTTGCTTCAAGAGAAACAAAAGCAAGCTGATAAAGAAGTTTGTCAGTTTTCCACATGTCGTCATGATTCCATCTTTGGTTAACATTTGTTTCTATTCAATTTCTATTTTCAGTCAATAAGAAATCCAGTTTAATATTGTAATAGTTCTGCAATTCCTTGATATATGTAGCAAAATCTTCATCAGAGCAAGAATCCAGATTAACTTCCGCCAGTTCCTGAATTGTGAGTGCGCCCTTTACGGCTTCCTCATTACTTAAGTACCTATTAATTAAATAATAAATTGTTTTTTTCGTGTAATCAAATTTGTCTAAAACAGAGATCCAACCATCCATTTTAGGGATCCTTTCCTCCGAAAGAGTTGATTTGACAAACTGAACGATTCTGTACCAGAACTTTATCCACAACAGGGCAAACTTTTGATATCGACCACCACTTAAAGAAAGTCCTGGCCATCCCCACCCAAAGCATGGGAATTTTAAGACGTGGCCCCAGACGTTCATGTCTCTTGCAAAGAAACATGGCATTCGAATTTTGTGAAAACACGATGACATATAGTCTAAAACACTGTTTATACAAGTAATGTCCAGGCGAGAATGGGTGCATTTATCATCATAAACATGAAATAGAAAAGCTGTTTTCAAAACATATGAAGATAAATTCATACACTTTCCTGACAAATTAATTTCTTCAATGAGAAGTGCTTTTAATATTTTGTAACAGTACTTATGGTGTTCATCCATGTTTTTCATTAGCTCAAGCTCCATTCGTGCGAAAGAGATAAACCAGCAGGATGGGTGTGGGGAGTGATCGACGTGACAAGATTTAGTAATGATATGGCAGCCGTGCTTTAAGAGTAGATCCTGAAATTCAGAAGGAAAACCCGGCAGATCATTAACAACTGCAGGGTAGGGATGTTCCAATGCCATCATCAAATCAACACCAATATGTGTTCTCTCAACTTTAACCAAAGTTTCGCTATATTTATCATATTTCAAATCTGATACACCACTCCTTTTAACATACACAAGTGGGAGTTTTTCTTTCTCAATTTTTGTTGGCTTTAAGGTCCCTTCGAGTATGTCCACATGAAAAGAGTTGGACTCTGTAACTTCAGAAATAGTATTCCAGAAACTAGAAATCAAATCTTTTGGATTTCTGAAGTAATTCTCATATCTATTGTAAAATGTTTCAGTATAAAGGCTTACACCAGTACAATAACACATATATGGATGGAGCTTTTCCTTTTGGTCTGTTTTCAGTTGGAGTTTCGTGTACCAGTCCGAACATCCCTTTTGAATATTAATTCTATCAGGTTCTGAAAATATCTGCAAAATGACCATGAAGTCAAATTCATCAAAATTTCTAATTTTTGTTCCTTCATAGAAGCTTCCTGATGAAAGAATATCTGATATTTTAAAGACAGGATTTTTCTCTCCGACTCTCTGCACTATATGTCCCAGCATTTGCCTGATGCCAGGCTCTATTGTCAGTTTTTCAGCTTCGCTCATCGGGATAACACAGCGCTGTCTATAGACGTAGCGAAGAAATGCACGCTGTCTGTTGTCTGGGGATGCTGTAAAAGAGAAAACACTTCAGAAGACTCTTTCATATACAAAGATTAATAAGAAGTTTAGTTTGGAAAGAAAAATAAAATGTTTAAACCATGATACATCGACACATTAAAATTTTGTTAGCTTTGTCGGTATTATTTAATTTTTTCCGAAAGAAAAAACTTAAAATCGACTGCATCATTTTTCTTCTATAATATAATAAATGATGGTTTTTTTCCGTTATTTTCCGATCACGATGTAAACATTTTTATGATGACATTGTCGACTTCATTCTTACCTGACGCCATCCTATATCCGGATATCTAAGAATGGACTCACTAACTATAAAACAGTTTCACAGTTGAATATTTACCAGCTTTATTTTTTTAAGTCTGAAAATTGCGACTTTCTGTTTGAATATCAAACCAGGTCTACAACAACAAACTTTCCGTGTTGTGTAATTTAGATACGACACATGATCATTGTGTACTAGGGTCAGTTGACAAAACATAAAACAAGTGGGTTTTCCAACTTATACTCCCTCCTGGTTATGTTTCAGAGAAAGAAATTCTTTACATGCCATTACTTCATGTTTTACTTTTCATATACAGGTGCATAATCAAGAACGCTATAAGTTTTCTGAAGTAAGCAAAAATGTTTGGATGTTTTTTTTAATAAGGTACACATATATGTGAGTACTTTACTGAACGACCAATCCACTGAATGAATGGCAATTTTTATTGTCCATTGGAAACTCATTTTCCCTTTTTTGATAGATATGAAATATATTTTTGAAATGGGATATATTCTTTTACATTCACAAAATTTGATTTATTACTAGTATGTTTTTTTAACTTGATTGAATATCAATTCAAAGTGACTTGGGTGCTAGGTGTAGAACAAGCACACAAAGAATCTACCTTGCTTTGATGTATTTTACGATATTTACAGAATGCTTAGAGTATTATTATTTTTTCTTGGTGACAAAACATTATTATTAATGTATTATAAACATATCAGGGGCGATCATAAAGTTCGCGAACAAATTGAATATCTTTCATAAAACAAATAAAATTAGATTTCAGTGTTCATTATTTTTTAAAGAAGCCCTCTCTGATTTTTATGCATATCTGCCACCGTCCTATTCCAAGCGGTCACATGACATGCTCCGAATTCGAAGCAGTCTGTTCATAGACGCTAAAATATTTTTCCGAGTCTTATATTTTTTGCCTTGCAAGTGAATTTTTTATAACAAGAACAGTCCATTTGTCAGAAATGACCAAATCTCGGAAAAAGGATGGTTGGATAAGGATATCCTTCGCCAGAAAGAGCACGGTGACCATCACAACCCGACTCATTTGTCTTCGGAAACTTGATTATCCAATATGGATATATGGGGCTGTTCTTTTTATATCATATTCAATATATTTAAAGTCTATAGTAAATGATATTTTTCGGATTTAATTATAATATAATTGTTAAGATATTCAACTATTTTTGTCCAACAAAAAAGACACATATCTTCCCCAGCTTGCCTTCTCTAGGCTGGGCTACAAATCAAAAGTCAGTTCAAAACAATAGCCCTCCCTTTACTTAAACAATCAATCCAATCTATGATTGATCGTCCGGAAAGTCGATTGTCTTCATAAACCTTGTACAAATAATCATAGGATACCTCAAAGGATTTTCCAAGTTTTACGTTAAACTTTACAGCTGTTTGTATCCTCGAGTAAGACTGCGACAACCATTTTTCGTCACTAGTCACCCACATATTGACGTATATCCAAATTGTGACGTCACAATGATGGAGAAAATTATTACTTTTCATATGCTTTTTTATAGAACATGTGCATGACTATAGGTGTACCAAATTTCATTCTCATCTATATTGTGCTTTTGTAAATATTGAGATAGTTCGCGAATGTTTTTTTCACCCCTCGTATATATATACCAATGCCATTTCAAATATGATAGCCATTTTATGAAAAAAATATGATTTCTTTTTTTTATTTCTATATTAGTAATAGGTGTAATTTAATTAGAATTAATTGACATTTTTCTGTCTTTGAGTGTATTAATGTATATAACTACCTCGTATATAGGGTAACTTTGCGAAGGTTTCCTTTAAAGAATTTTAAATATAGATTCTAAATTCATATTTTAATGTCAGCTTATCGAATGAATATTCGAATATTCGTTGACATCCCTAGTTTAATGAATTTTAAATATTCAAGTCTTGTCTAAATCACAACATATGTTTTAGTTCACTTATACACAAGTATAACAATGTCATTACGATAAATAAAAGACTTTACGACATCATTAACAGCTTCTTCAAGAAAATTAAAACTCGGAAATTTCCATGCCTTGTGATTTGTCAGATATAAAACGCCTTTGTTGAAACCATACTGTTTATATGCTAAATTTAAAGTTATCTCAATCGAAGGTATGAAGAGGGTTCCGGTGAATGTTCTACCAAATCGTTTTCTTTTATCCTCACCAAAAAATTCACAAGCTTCAAGAGTAGTATACTACATTACATTTAAGAAGTGATTTTACTCAGATGTACACATTTAAAAACACGTAAAAGTTGCAGAATTTTCATATTTGGATTTTTTTTACTAGATAGAGGGTTAATTTTGATCTAGCAACCAAGCTTTGTGCATCTTCTCTATTGCCAAAATTGACGATCCGCTTGTTTTGTTTCAGTTTGCAAAATGCCCCAGGGGTTCATGTAGATTTATTCAGAATTCAAGGGTCTGGAACAGACTTCATACAAGGTTCTCTTGTGAGACGTTCTGTGAAAGCAACGCAAAATAAAAATACAAAATGATAATAATGTAGGCTCACAACTTCAGGTAATAATCAAAAAAATTCTAATATAGATTCACAGGTAAATATTACAGAAATTAATCCTGACATTCAAAACTTATATTTGAGATTCTACATTTAATTCTTATACACCATCAATAGTTAAGCAACAGATTATCAACTTGTCTTACTTAAACATCACACAAAATTTTATTACATTTTAAGTTAATCTGACTTTTTAACAGCTTTGGATTTTAAATCTAAAAATAGCATCAACTGCGAGTTGCAAGTGCAGTATAAACAAAAATACTGATGATATGCACAAGAAAACGATTGCATAGTAAAATATAAACAAAATAATCTATTATTCAGACAATTTCAATTACAAAACTTACAAGGTTGCCGCTATATATGACAAGAAGTTTCGTCGATAAAGTTGTAACAAAGACGGACATGAAATTTCCGGATAGATCGGCTGTTGTAACATTAAATTCCCCGTCTGATATGATAATATCACAAATATTTAAATTAAACAAATTAAAAAGAGGTAACTCTACCCAATATCAGTATTCAAAATAGCAAAAATACACAATAAAATATAGCGCACACTGTACTTCACATTCTCATCGAATGTCCTGTCACGACACATTCCCACTACAGTTTGTTTGGAACGAGAACTTCTGTCGCTGGGCGTTTGAAAATCTTTCTGTCCATACCAATCTGAACTTCTATTTTACGGACACGCGCGTCATCACTAGAATATGTGTTCTCGACAATTCCCATTGGCCAGTCATTGCGATGAAGTGTCTTGTCACGAAGAAGGACAACATCGCCCACTTGAAGATTTCTTTCGCCCTGTCAGTAGAGAATCCAATATCTTCCTCGAGACACCTATTTGCAGCTCCTAGGCCCCACCAATGTGTAAGGCGTGTGGGGGTTAAACTTCCACTGAATTCCTCTCCTTTACATGAAGTCCTTTAGCGGTGCATCTTTAATGTCAATTATGATGACGTTCATTTCTGAAGTGAATCCAATGAAGTTTGTTCCACGATCTGAGCAAAGTGTGCGCACTTCACCTATAAGGGCTGTAACACAACGTAAAGCAAAAATGAAGCTAGAGGTGCTCAATTCCTCAATTACCTCGATATGGACTGTGCAGATGACCAAACAGGTAAAAATAACTGCCCATCTCTTAGCTTGAGATTGACCTCCTCGTGTCTTTCTGTTAACAATGGACCAAGGTCCAAATACATCCACTCCAATATATGTAAAGGGGGTGCCGGATGACGATGCGCCTCAAAAAGGTCAGCCATTTTTGGTTGTTGTTTTTGTTTGCCTCGCAGCTTTCTACATGATGCACATTTCTGTATATGAGAGTTTACAAGGCGGCGACATCCTACGATCCAAAGCCCTGCGCTTCTTTTTGCCCCTTCTTTGAATAAGCGTCCTTGATGTTTCACTTCTCTATGAAAGTGTTCAGCAATCAAAATGGCAATGTAGCTCTTTTCGGAACGATAAGTGGATTCTTCTCTTGAAATGACAAGTTAGAGTGACAAAGTCTGCCCCCCACTCTAAGTAAATCATCCTCATCCAAATATGGGTCCAGACTGAAAATTGGACTACTCTTGTTTATTGTTCTGCCTGCCTTGAGAGCTTTAATTTCTCTTCAGAAAATTTTCTCGTCCTGAATCTCAAGAATAATAATTTCAGCTTCTTTCAAAGTAAGTGGGTTTTGATCTTTATCTCCATCAAATCTTGATTGTTTCCACTTGCGTATCATTTTCTGTATGAAGCAAATAGCTCTGGTCAGTCGCAGCCAATCCGAAAATCTTTCAAAGCGATGAGAGCCTTGTCGACAAATATTCTGCATTTTGTCCTACACGATCTGACCTCCGGATCAGGCGGTAAAGGTTCATCCCAGTCTAATCCACTAGTTATGGCTTCACGAAGAATGGCCTTTCCAGCAATCATCACTGGGGCAACAAAATCCAGTGGATCAAAGAGACTGTTGATGGAGGAAAGGACGTCACGTCTTGTGAATGGTTTCTCCTCCATGTTTACTTTGATTGTGGAAGTAGTCATGTTGAAGGTTTCAGCAGATGCCAAAACTTCTCTGTGTTGGTAGGTCATCTGCCCAGAGTTCTGTGTCTTTTAGGTCCTTTGCCAGATCTTGAGAATTGAAAGCTGCTAACATCTCACTAGAGTTGGATGCTATCTCATGTAGTCTCAAACACAGCCATGTTCCATCAGAGCCTTCTGTGTGCGCTGGAGTAGGTCGATTGCTTCCTTTGCAGATGAATGAAAAGAAAGAGCATCATCTACATGGAAATTACGATGCACAAACTCCCTCATATCCGAGCCATACTGTGCTTCTGCTTCATCAGCCGTAAGACGTAGTCCGTATGTCGCCACCGCAGGGGAGGGACTATTACCAAAAACATGTACTTTGATTTGATATTCGACCAAAGGTTCGTCAAATTTATTGTCTTTGTGCCAAATGAATCTCAAGAAACGTCTGTATTCAATATCCACCAAGAAACTGTAAAACACCTGTTCGATGTCTGCAACTATTGCTACAGATTCTCTCCTAAATCTTAGCAAAACACTGATGAGATTGTTCATTAAATCTGGTCCACTCATTAGGACGTCATTAAGTGATACTCCGTCGCACTTCGCAGGAGAGTCGAAAACTCCACAGATTTTGTCTTTCTTCTGTGGTTGATAGACCTCAAATAGAGGCAAATGCCAGCTCTCAGTGTTTGGTGGAAGCTGTGGTGCAAACTTGATGTGGCCGACTTCAAAAAGGTTCTTCATAAATTCCAGAAAATGAGTTTTCTTAAGAGGGTTCTTCATCAAACTCTTTTCAAGGCTAACAGTTCGATCCAAAGCTTGTTGTCCGTTGTTTTGTAAAGTAGGTCGTGTCCTTTTAAAGGGTAATGGAGCACTTCAATGCCTAGGGACGGTTGTTCAGAATTCGAGCACATAGTTTTCATAATATCCCAGATTTAGGTGTATGGATTCCATCCAAGCACGTCTCTCATATGACAACCGAGCCTAATGGTAGCCGTTCAGCATACGGTTGAGAGGGATCACCTCTTATCTGGTCCAGGACATAAAGTGCGCCCAAGAGATCTCTGCCAATCAGTAGTGATATGTGTGCCGTATGGTGCGTAGGCGGAATGAAGCTCGATATCTCAGCAAGATGAGTGTGATAAATGGTACATCACAAGTTGGGATTTTGTTACGATTGTTAGAAATGGCACTACATTCAATTAAGGTAGGTAAATCAAAGTTAGTCTGTCTGTCCATCGACTTAATCACAAAGCCATGAGAGCGTCTGCTACTGACTAAAGATGATCCACTGCAAGTAGAGAGTTTGTATGATTCACAAGTAGTGTTTGGGTCAAACATTTCAAAAAGTTCAGGTTTTGCCAGTGACTTGTTACTCTGCTTATCAAGAATGGCGTAAACATTAACTGGTGGGTGTTCACTATGCTTATGGTAAATGCTGACTAGTACATTCTTAGCGCATGATTTGCCTCTGAAATCCCCTCAGATTTCTGTACAAGCTGCGTTTATGTGTGTGGTCGTCTCAGCCGTCTGATGATGTAAAGCTGGTTTTTCAACTTGATTCTGGGTGGGTCTGTTTGATGTGTGAAACTGCATGGCAGTGCAATGATGTTTGCTACCACAAGTGTCACATTTTACTTTCACACGGCAGTCATTTGACAAATGTTTGCCATCACAAAACTTAAAACACTGACCACTGACCATCTCCTTAAGATGTCTCTCTTTTCACCGATACTCTTCGTGCGGAAAGCATTGTAGTCACTCGTGGAGAGTGCGGAATTGTGGACAGCACCACGCACTTTTGTCTGACTCTCATCCTGTAACACTTCTGTTTTGTTGGAAGTAACAGTCTGTCTGTGAAACTGTTTATTTGATTTGTCCTTGGTGCCGAGCAACTCGCTTAACTTCAGTGTCAAATCAAGGGCCATTCATCACATATGCCATCTCTTGCACGAAAGTACAAATTACACAAAAAGGAGATACGCTTCATCATTGTTTTTCTTGTATTCTATTGCCTTGTCATGCCACTTATTCTGAACATGCATGGGAACTTTGAGTAACACAGGTTTGACTCCATCTGATGTTTCAAAATAACTTAATGTCTTACTGTACTTGGGATTGTCTTTGACGGCGTTTAGTTCATTCAGCGTGTCCGAGAGACAATAGTAGTCAGGCTTGTTGTTAAAGTCAAATTTCTCCAAAACATCACTTAACTTTCCCTTCAGAGCTCTTGCGATAGGATCTGGGCTGCCGTAAAATGAATCACATCTTTCCCACGCTTTATGAACTGCCAAAGTAGAGTTACCAGTATTTGAATTTTTCATGCTCTTCACTTGCTCGTTTTGCTTTCCTTCAAGATTTTTTATCATTAAGTCCAGTTCAGAGAAACAAAAGCAAGCTGATAAAGACGTTTGTCAATTTTCCACATGTCGTCATGATTCCATCTTTGGTTAACATTTGTTGGTATTCAATGTCTATTTTCAGTCAATAAGAAATCCAGTTTAATATTGTAATTGTTCTGCAATTCCTTGATATATGTAGCAAAATCTTCATCAGAGCAAGAATCCAGATTAACTTCCGCCAGTTCCTGAATTGTGAGCGCGCCCTTTACGGCTTCCTCATTACTGAGGTACCTATTAATTAAATAATATATTGTTCTCTTCGTGTAATCAAATTTTTCAGTAGCAAAGATCCAACTACCCATTTCAGGTATCTTTTCTTCCGAAAGAGTTGATTTGACAAACTGAACGATTCTGTACCAGAACTTTATCCACAACAGGGCAAACTTTTGATTTCGACCGCCAATTAAAGAAAGTCCTGGCCACCCCCACTTAAAGCATGGGAATTCCAAAACGTGGCCCCAGACGTTCATGTCTCTTGCAAAGAAACACGGTATTCGAATTTTGTGGAAACACGATGACATATAGTCTAAAACACTGTTTATACAAGAAATGTCCAGGCGAGAATGAGTGCATTTATTATCTCCATAAACATGAAATAGAAAAGCTGTTTTCAAAACATATGAAGATAAATTCATACACTTTCCGGACAAGTTAATTTCTTCAATTAGAAGTGCTTTTAATATTTTGTAACAGTACTTATGGTGTTCATCCATGTTTTTCATTAGCTCAAGCTCCATTCGTGCGAAGGATATAAACCAGCAGGATGGGTGTGGGGAGTGATTGACGTGACAAGATTTGGTAATTATATGGCAGCCATACTTTAAGAGTAGATCCTGAAATTCAGAAGGAAATCCCGACAGATCACCAACAGCTGTGGGGTTGGGATGTTCCAATGCCATCATCAAATCAACACCAATATGTGTCCTCTCAACTTTAACCAAAGTTCTGCTATATTTATCATATTTCATCTCTGACACACCACTCCTTTTAACATATACAAGTGGGAGTTTTTCTTTCTCAATTTTTGTTGGTATTAAGGTCCCTTCGAGTATTTCTACATGAAAAGAGTCGGATTCTGTAACTTCAGAAATAGTATTCCAGAAACAAGAAATCAAATCTTTTGGATTTCTGAAGTAATTCTCATATCTATTATGATATGTTTCAGTATCAACGTTACCACTAGCACAATAACACATGTATGGTTGGAGGTTTTCCTTTTGGTCTGTTTTCAGTTGGAGTTTGGTGTACCAGTCCGAACATCCCTTTTGAATATTAATTCTATCAGGTTCCGAAAATATCTTCAAAATTACCATGAAGTCAAATTCATCAAAATTTCCAATTTTCGTTCCTTCATAGAAACTTCCTGATGAAATTATGTCTGATATTTTAAAGATAGGATTTTTCTCTCCGACTTTTTGGATTAAATGTCCCAGCATTTGTCTGATACCCGGCTCTATTGTCAGTTTATCAGCTTCGTTCATCGGGATCTCACAGCGATGTCTGTGGATGTAGCGAAGAAATGCGCGCTGTCTGGTGTCCTCGGAGTCTGTAAAAGAGGAACAAATTTAGAAGACTCCTTCACATACAAAGAATTTCGAAGTTTAATTTTTCACGTTATCTTTTAAATATTCTAACTTATTCTCATATACGAAATGTTTTTTTCTTATCTTATCACACATTTGATTAATATCGGCATCCTTTTTAAATGTAGCAAATGATTGAAATTGTGCTAAAAAGTTCAAACCGCGATATATACTCGCTTTATACACGTTAAATTTATGGTAGCTTTGTCATATTTAAAATTTACAAAAAAAAAAACTCTTTCGGGAAAGTTGCATCATTATGCAATTTCCCTCCATAATATACATCCCAAAAAAATCATGATTTTTCCCGTTATTTTCCAATTATGACAAGGAGCAGGTGTGACCGGCTGGCAGGATTTTTTCACATCTTCATGGCACCTGATCCCGCCTCTGTTGTTTTAAAGGCCTGTGATTGCTCTGCTTCTATTTTATTATACTTAATGGACTTCTGAGCTCAATTACCATTTATCCTCATATATTTCAGACATTTATAAGCTGTGAATGTTTTCTCGTCTGTTATCTAGTTTGCATGAATTCAAGTTAATGTTCAAGTATACAACCTATACAGGTAATTACGGAATTTTAAAAGATTGATTTTTCAACAAATGAAATTTAATTCGAAGTAGACGATATAAATCCAGGATGTATATTGAAACATTCGCTGTTATAAAAGAAGATCTCCGATCTGCGTTCATTTTTTTTTCTATAGCGGGTGCACAAATTCTATGAATTATATTATTAGCTAGTTGTATACATGTAAAACAGCTCCAACGGCTTTTTGCATAAATTAAGGTCACCTTCTCTTGTAAAAAAAAAAGATAACATTATCGAACTTCAGTACGACGACATAACTCTTAGGTTATTTCGTATCTCGTGTGTGTCAAGGGTACTTGTCCTTTAAAATTATCATCTAAAGTTATGAAGGCCGATGTTTTAATGGAGACTTTATAAATAAGTGGTACGTTGTAACAGCTATACGTTTCTACCATTAGAATTGACAAATTGAATTATTGGGCTTTTTTTCATTCCCTTAAAAAGTTGACATTTTAAAATTGACTTCTCATAGGTAGTAATTCTCTCATTTACCATACTCGTCTTTGATTTGTCTAATGGTCATATGTAACGTAGTTTGAACTTTATTGGGTTCTTCCCTTGAGTTGAAGAGTTCCGCTAAATGACGGACCTGTGTGCAAAGCTTTTTATGTCTATATATCGATTTGTACACTTCTTCCAAAAGAAAGAATGAGTGCACTTAAGTACATCATTTGGAACCTTTTCGGCTACCCATTTTAAGCTTACATTACAATATATCGCTAAATTAATCTATCATTAATGTGTAAGCATATGCTTTTGATATTTATTTCTAGAATTTTTTGTCTTACATTTTCCTTTAATCACATAAAATGTAATTGAAAAGAACATGTAAAAGCCTTAAATTCCTGAAATTTGAACGGTACCAACTTTCGAATCTAAGGTATCCGCAAATAGGCGGAGAGATTTAAACCGCATGGTTGTGGAATGTAAACATTAGCACAAATGATTTTTTTCGCACTACGAATTGAAATGGAGAAGAGAGAGAAATTGTGTTGATTTTATGGTGCACAAATATTAAATGATTCTGATGTCAAGGGATGGGGTAGGTGTCTTGCTTTGCAGACCATAATACAGAGGCGACATAAGCCCATGTACTTACTAATGACACTGTCAATACCAGAATTCTTTCAAAACACCCCTAATGAAAAGCATAAAATTAAATAAGAGACATATTATCTTCAAACCCTATTAAAATTTGCGAAAAATCTCCCATAGTTTGAAGTTGGAAGTACGATAAATACGGTCACAACAGAGACTTAAACACAATGAAATTTTCAATGAAAGCGTTAGCGTACCGAACAGCAGATGGTCACGTGAGAAAGGTGATTATAATATCAATCGTTGATGCTCGGTGACCGGTTAATTTAGTAGCCATCTCGACCCTAGTTTGTGGACATTTTTATAAAAAAATTAGATATGAGCCACAATTTGGCCAACATTATCCTTTGGATATGTATAAGTTTAAGTTAAAATACACATTCTGTGCAAATAAGAAAAATGGCCAAGTTGCGCCTTGGTGTAAACAAAGTCGTTGAAAACTGATATGCATATGAATAACAATAGAAATGAGACAAAACTGTAAGACCCCGGATTCTCAAAAGCTAGTGTCGCTCGGCATTATCTAATACTTTCATGTAATATAATATACCAAAACCTGCTCTTGAGATATTGTTTAATACCTATAAAACATAAATTTAATTAATTTTGGAATTTTATTTCGCGCAAAACATTGGGATCTAACTCTCATAGCTTAAGTGCAGTCATTCTTTTAAGGGAAAAATATCTGGAAATTATGTTTCGTAATTTTTGTACATTTTTCTTTTTTTTTTTTTTTTTTTTTTTTTTGATAATGGAAAATTTTTCACAATTTGATATCATTTTTAAAACCCCTAATAAAGCATGCTGATTTTTTGTCTAAGAACATTTAATGGTATTTTAAGTTAAAATTTAGAATATCTACTACTATGGCGCTACTTTCTGAACTCTGTCTAGAATCACGAGAGATTAGTAGCACTACTTCATTATCCATCTGCAGTATCGGGGGCCATCAACATTCTTTATTTGATTTTACCAGGTCTATGATTTTACTTAATCACTAAAACTAATACATATGCATACAAAAAGTAATTTTCAGTTTTTGCATATATGGTAAATATATATATATATATATATATATATATATATATATATATATATATATATATATATATATATATATATATATATATATATATATATATATATATATATATATATATATATATATATGCACGTAAATACTTTTAACACTTGTAAAGAATCAGGTTAATGTACATAAAATGTTATTGGAGTAAGTAACTTATAAACAGAACTTTGCTTGTTATGTTTAATGTGTTGTAATCATTTTTTTATAATGACAGTGTCGACTTCATTCTTACCTGACGCCATCCTATATCCGGATTTCTCAGAACGTCTGGTTGACTCAATAACTATGACACAGTTTCACATTGTTAAATATTCAACAGCTTTATGTTTTTGAAGTTTGAAATGGCAACTTTCTGTTTGAATATCAGATCCTGTCTACAACTGCTATTCTTCTGTGTTATGTAATTCAGATATGACACATGATCATTTTGTACTAAGGTCAGCTGGGGGTTTTCCCAACTTACACTTCCTCTTGGTTACGTTTCGAAAGAAAGAAATTCTTTACATGCCATTACTTCACGTTTCACTTTTAATATACAGCTGCATAAACAAGAATGCTATAGGTTTACTGATGTCAGCATACATTTTTTGATGTTTTTTAATAAGGTACATGTATTGTGTGTATTTTACTGAATGACCAATCAGCTGAATGAATGACAATTTTTATTTTTTCATGGAAACTCATTTTCTATGCTTTTTCGAAAGATATGAAATATGATTTTAAAATGGGATAGATTCTTTTAAATTTTACAAAATTTGAAATGTTTTTTTTTATGAATTTGATTGAATACCAATTACAAGTGACAAAGGTGTTATTGCATAGAACAAACAGTTTTTCAAGTAAGAGCGCGAAAAAGAAATTCTTAATTGCCAGAATCTACCTTGCCTTGATGTGTTTTACGATAATGTACAGAATGCTTTGAGTATTATTTTTTTCTTGGTAATTAATCATTATGATATGTGTTTTATGAACATTCATATACCAGCACCATTTCAATCTGATTCTAAATTTTATTACTAAGGCCTAAAAAAATTACTAACTTGGTTCTCAGGCCCGCCCGCATGTCATTTAACTATGCGCATTACCCATTTTTATCCTCAAATGAATAAAATAAAATTTCTCTCGTGCGCTGATAGACTGAGAAAAAAAAATCCGGAATTCCCAGACCGCATTTTAGAATCACCAAGACTCAATCGGTAATCCTCGGTTGACTCCATTACGCTCCATTTTAAGGTTAGTCTCGTTCAACCAGACCCTCGGCTGTCTCCGTAAATCTCCGACCACTCTGGGTGGTCGGAGATTTACGGAGACAGCCGAGGGTCTGGTTGAACGAGACTATTTGTAAGGTAAGGAAGTGTGCGACCCTAGGAGCTCCGAGTAATACAGAGCATGGCAATGCAAATGGCGGTCGGATTAAAAGGTTGACTGAATCGTCAGTGAATGTTTGAATACAATGGCATTAATTTCGGCCCAAATTCGGAAGGGATCAACTGTTTTGCTTCCCTAGCATATAGTTGGTGGGTGTTCCGAGGGATGTACTATGTTAGAACTTTATCAATCCATATAAAAGAACGGCTCCATTAAGGAGGCTCATTACACCACTTTTTGATGACGTACTACACAAAAAAATAAACCTTCATTGTGTTAGTCTCGTTCAACCAGACACTCGGCTGTCTCCGTAAATCTCCGACGAGCAGAGAGTCTGGTAAAGAATCACGTGAGCGTTTGTAACCGTCAGAGGGCGCTATCTTGTTTTCATTTTAAAACTCCTTTTTGTAAGCAAACGTTATTTACGTTTCTTCTGCTGGATTGTGACTTTATATTAATAAACTGGTCTTTAATTAGGGACACCAAACGAGAAATTACACTATCCATCGAAGGAATTTGTATAACGCAGATAGGGCTACCCTACTTTCACTTTTGCTTTCGCACAGAATATTTTAAGACTTTTTAAAAAACGCTTACCTATTACTGGTGGGCATTACTGTAAACAATTCCTCTCTAACAGCTTTAACTTTTAGGCATGTAATTTTTACATCTTTAAGTTATTTTTCTGCCGATTTATCATGCATTTGTTTAAATTTGGTAGGTGTGTTCTTTGCAGCCAATTGAAACTTTACCAGAATTTCAGTAAGCCTCATTTTGGCGTTACAAGCAACATCAAGTATCTTTACCAGACTCTCTGCTCGTCGGAGATTTACGGAGACAGCCGAGTGTCTGGTTGAACGAGACTACCATTGTGTCGACCGGTTTCCTCTGGGGACGAATTGTACAGGTAACTCTATAATATGACCCTGACCTATTAAACGCTTTAAAAATAGATGAAACATGCGGTGTTATAAAAAGTGAAAACAAAGTAACGGATTCATAATACATAAACCAAGAAGAATTGCTTTTAAGCAGAAACAAAAGAAAACAACAGTCAAATCTTCGCCAAACAAGTAATGTCAATTTCATAGCGATGCATGCAGTGAGCTCTATCAATCAATGACATGTTTGTATGGAGGAAATTCGAGTTAAAATCTACTCCCTTGTTGAAATTAAAAAATTATTTACTTGCATTATTTACTGTGTTGGTGTTGATTTATACATTTGCTTTATTGATTCAAATGTATACTCCGGCAATTTAAAGCTTTGTTCTGAATTTTAGATGTAATGTCAAACGTTCCTTCGTGTTTTGAGTCTTGGGTAATTAGGAAAGATAACTCTTAAAAGTGGACTTTTTATTCCAAATATTTTGAAATTGGATTTTTCATTTCGTTTAAACATTCTTCATTCAATTTGACACATGTAATTCATTGAAATACATTCCTTGTCTCTTCAGAACTCATTTTCTTAATGTTTTATGCATAGATTAAAAAGATAATGACATTAATTGTTTTTTAGGAGAAAATTATTTTTTCTAATAAAATTATTATTAGGTATTATAAGATATTTTCACGGTGTGTACTTGTCTTAAGAAGATGCCCATCATTTGACACTGAAAGTTCAGAAATTCTGTTAATAAGAAACTTGAAATAAAACATTTCACTAAAATTAGACAAAAACTAAAAAATTCTATAAAAAATATTTATGATATCAATATCCCCATCTGGATATTTGACATCTACATTATAAGTGGTGCTGTACTGAAATCTAAAATAAACTGTGGATGTAATGAGCCACCTTAACCTCGGGACTTGGGTTTTCCCGGAAAAACTTCGAGATTTGCCTATATTAGTTTCTGTGGGAAAATCAAAGACTGACGCGTTTGACAATGTGATGGCAAATATGAATGTTGTCCAAACAGTGGCAGATGTGAGATTCAACCTTGTAGAAGATAAAGACCAAAAAAAAGCACCGCACGTGAAATGCCTTCGGAATCGGGGACGGAGGATTCTGGCGCTGAATCTGGTACGTACTACGTATTTAGTTAGTATTATTAAAAAAAAACATATTTATGCTTAATATCACGATATTCTGGACATATTTTCACATCAATGTAGTTGGGTATTTTCATGATTTTATGTGATGAATTCTTGAAATTAAAAGGAGGCATAAAAGAGTTTTCGTAATTTTAGAAAAATTAAAATATAAAATTATACAGCATCAGTAATAAAGATTCATTGAAATATTTGCATCATAAGAAAATAACTGATTTTAATAACGAAAGTTATGCACACATTCTCTGTAGAACTAATATTAATACAGTAATCTTATTTGAAACAAAAATGAATCAATTTCTTCCTTGACAGGCCCAAGCTTCAGGATTTTTTTTTGACCAATGTACAGTGTCCAGGTCATATTTCTTTACTATTCGTAAGTGTGGGAATCCAGAATGTCAGATATGCCTTCCACCTTGCCTGCCTCCTGATGTCTTTTCCCAGCTACATGCATTTCCAGATTCAGTTCCAGGTAATAGTTATCTCTATATTTAGTAGATTTTCAGTAAAAATTGAATGTATTTAATTTATGAAAGTATTTGATGTGAAAAAGTTTTACCATGTATTTCACAGGAGAGGATGGACATTATAAAGAGTTTGAAGAAGTCTATGGTACAGATACCACAGAAGAGTATCGACCTTCACTACAGCAAAAAGTGCCAGGGCTTGCTGCAAACAGTCATGGCATACCCTTTGCTCCTTCTGCTCAAACTGCAAGAACTGTTGGCAAAACTGTGAAGTGTATAGCATGTGATAAACCAAGAGTCATTTATTCTACTCACAAACTTACAACGCAAGATTACATGATTCTGAAACGTGTTTTGGATCTTTATCAATATTCCTGTGGATGTGAGCTTCAAGAGCTCATGCCACAAGAGAGAGGAAGGGCTCCAAAGATATCTGCCCTTCTTGATCATGTATTTGTCAGAGCTAATCTACACTGCACAAGTCCAGTTGAAATTCCGTACTTTAGTGCTGGCATATTCCCTTCAGTTTGCTTTTACTGCTCAGATGAAGCAGTTGAGCAAATTGAAGGGACATATTCCACTTGTGAAAGCTGTAGAGCAAACCATATTTTGCCATTCAAGAGAAAAAATGTAGAAAATGCTAGAGAGAAAAAAAAAGAAAAGTAGAAAGTAAATGTTTTCAATTTCTATGTTCAATGCACATATTGAAGCACTGTTGTTTAAAAGTTCGAGTTTTGAAATTTAAAAAAAAAATCCCTCGTCTTTTTTTTATTGGGTAAAAAGAAAAAAATGCCTCCCTCCCTCATTTATTTTTGACAAAACTGGCCTGAGAACCAAGTATTTAATTTTTTTGGCCTACAAATGATTTCTTTTTTATTTTTAGACTAGTAATAGGTATGATGTAATGGGATTCTTTTGACCTTTTTTTCTGTGTGTCGTTGAGTGCATTAATGTATTTAACTACATCGTATACATGTCACTTTAAGGTTCCCTTTAAAGAATTTTAAGTATAAATTCTAAATTTATTTTCGAATGTCAACTCATCGAATGAATATTCGAATATTCGTTGACCTCCCTAGTTCAACGAATTTAACTCTGTTATTACGATAAATAAAAGACCAGACTTTTCGACATCATAAACAGCTTCTTCAAGAAAATTGGAACTTTCCTTACCTTGTGATTTGCCAGATATGAAATGCTTTTCTTGAAAACCATACTGCTTATTAGATAAATAAAAAAAATTATCACAATCGAAGGTAAGAAGCGGGTTCAGGTGAATGTTCTATCAAATCGCCAAATGTATCAGATCTATGTGACAATAACGTATTAAAAGATTGAGGTGCAATATAAAAACCATTTATCCTTCTGTATTCATCGATCTAGAGGCGTGAAAAGAATAAGCTAGATTTCATGATCTTCATGATCAGTATGTACTGGTCCTTGCTGACAAAGCAGGTAATAACATTCTGTTTGTTTCTAGAACTCATTATATAAATTGGATTTTAGAAGAACTTTAATTCTACAAGTGGTATGCAAACTTATATTCATAGTTCCTTTTATACGGAAGAAAATCTTCAAAATCATATGTCAGTTTTGAATATTTCTAAGATCCCAAAGAACCAAAATAAATTTGAACTACCATATACTAGTATATTGGATTCCGACACTACATAAACATCCTTACAAAGATACATAGCAGGTTCAAGTAAATTCTCAACTTAGCCTCTTTCATTACCCCTCACTAAGATATTAATAGTAGTGAATGAATAATTTCAAGAGTACAGTGCAACAATATATCTAAGAAGTAGGCTTAATTAGATGTGGATAATTAAAGTAATATACGCCACATGAATGCCGATTTTTGTGTGAAACAAAATTAGTAAATAATTTGAAACACATGAAGTGTAATGAAAAAATAATATTTCCACAAAATTTAACTATAAAACGCGTTGTAATAACAGAACAATAAAGCAATATCTGCAATCAAGAATTCAGTCTTTTAATGAATATTGATGAAGGAAGTGCGTAAACAGTAGGCCTAAATATAGACACGCATGTCCACGAGAAACTATAGACAACGAGGCATGTTGCATTTTGACAACGATTATTTTAATAAAAGGTTAATATGCGTCATAACAGAGTAGATGGTTGATACTGATTACATTAAAAGATAAGTAATATTAAGAGTAAGACGCCATCCATGTCAAAAGTGAGTTGTATCTCAAACGGCCTACCTCGTTTTCTTGACGCCATGTTTGTTTATCAATCTAAAAGTAGTGACGCCGTCACGTGGTGGATTTATTTAAAAAATAGAGCCATTTATAGCCTAGCAGGATAATTAGTAATTATAATTTGGTATTTATAACGCATTTTCTTTTAATGGTGTAATTTACAGTATTTTCGTAACTTTTATTGGTAAACAAAATATATAAATTTTCAACCGTTTTAAATTTAGCTCACCTGAGCCAAAGGCTCAAGTGAGCTTTTCTGATCACAATTTGTCCGTTGTCTGTCGTCGTTGTTGTCGTCGTTGTTGTCGGCGTCGTTGTAAACTTTTCACATTTTCAACTTCTTCTCAAGAACCACTGGGCCAATTTCAATCAAACTAGCCACAAAGTATTCTTGGGTGAAGGCTGTGGGGTCGGGGTGTTCCTATGCCATCATCAAATCAACACCAATATGTGTCCTCTCAAGTTCAGTCAATGTTCTGCTATATTTATCATATTTTATATCTGACACTCCACACCTTTTAACATACACAAGTGGGAGTTTTTCTTTAAATTAATTTTCCACGTGTCGTCATGATTCCATCTTTTGTGAGCATTTGTTTGTATTCAATGTCTATTATCAGTCAATAAGAAATCAAGTTTGATATTGTAATTGTTCTGCAATTCCTTGATATATGTAGCAAAATCTTCATCAGAGCAAGAATCCAGATTAACTTCCGCCAGTTCCTGAATTGTGAGTGCGCCCTTTACGGCTTCCTCATTACTGAGGTACCTATTAATTAGATAATATATTGTTCTCTTCATGTAATCAAATTTGTCAGTAGCAGAGATCCAATCATCCATTTTAGGTATCTTTTCTTCCGAAAGAGTTGATTTGACAAACTGAACGATTCTGTACCAGAACTTTATCCACAACAGGGCAAACTTTTGATATCGACCGCCAATTAAAGAAAGTCCTGGCCATCCCCACCCAAAGCATGGGAATTCCAAGACGTGGCCCCAGACGTTCATGTCTCTTGCAAAGAAACATGGCATTCGAATTTTGTGAAAACACGATGACATATAGTCTAAAACACTGTTTATACAGGTAATGTCCAGGCGAGAATGAGTGCATTTATTTTCTCCATAAAAATGAAATAGAAAAGCTGTTTTCAAAACATATGAAGATAAATTCATACACTTTCCGGACAAGTTAATTTCTTCAATGAGAAGTGCTTTTAATATTTTGTAACAATACTTATGGTGTTCATCCATGTTTTTCATCAGCTCAAGCTCCATTCGTGCGAAGGAGATAAACCAGCAGGATGGGTGTGGGGAGTGATTGACGTGACAAGATTTGGTAATGATATGGCAGCCATGCTTTAAGAGTAGATCCTGAAATTCAGAAGGAAATCCCGGCAGATCACTAACAGCTGTAGGATTGGGATGTTCCAATGCCATCATCAAATCAACACCAATATGTGTCCTCTCAAGTTCAATCAATCTTCTGCTATATTTATCATATTTTATATCTGACACTCCTCACCTTTTAACATATACAAGTGGAAGTTTTTCTTTCTCGATTTTTGTTGGCTTTAAGGTCCCTTCGAGTATTTCCACATGAAAAGAGTTGGACTCCGTAACTTCAGAAATAGTATTCCAGAAACTAGAAATCAAATCTTTTGGATTTCTGAAGTAATTCTCATATCTGTTGTGAAATTCTTCAGTATTAACGCTACCACTAGTACAATAACACATGCACATGTATGGTTGGAGGTTTTCCTTTTGGTCTGTTTTCAGTTGGAGTTTCGTGTACCAGTCCGAACATCCCTTTTGAATATTAATTCTATCAGGTTCTGAAAATATCTTCAAAATTACCATAAAGTCAAATTCATCAAAATTTCCAATTTTCGTTCCTTCATAGAAACTTCCTGATGAAATTATGTCTGATATTTTAAAGACAGGATTTTTCTCTCCGACTTTCTGGACTAAATGTCCCAGCATTTGTCTGATACCCGGCTCAATTGTTAGTTTATCAGCTTCGCTCATCGGGATGACACATCGCTGTCTATAGATGTACCGAAGAAATGTGCGCTGTCTGTTTTCATGGGATTCTATAAAAGAGGGAACAATGTAGAAGACATTTTCATATACAAAGATTAAAGAAGTTTCATTTGGAAATAAAAATAAAATCTTCAAAACGTGATACATAAACACATTACAATTTTGATACCTTTGTGATATTATTAAATTTTTCCCGAAAGAAAAAAACTTTAAATTAGGCAAGATTGCATCATTAAACAAATTTTTCTCTAAATCATTCTCTACAATAATACTTGTATATGATGATTTTTTCTTTATTTTCCAATCATGACAATGAGCAGGTATGACCTGTCGGTAGGGGATTCTCACTATTTCATGGCCCCTGATTCCACATCTGTGTTTTAGAGTTCCGTGTTTCCTCTGCATCTTCTTTGTTATCTGTAATCGTCTTTTGAGTCTGATCATTGTTTGTTATCGCCACATAGTTCATGCATCTATGAACTTAATTTTTTTCTCTAACTTTTCTTGTCTTTTATATAAAGGAATTCAAGTTTATTATTTATACAGGTAATGACGGGATTTTAAAGGGTTGGTTTTTCAGAAAGTACATTGAATCATTCGCTTCTAAGAAAAAAAAAATGGTAGTTATCCATTCCCCGGCCACTTTCACTCATTTTCTGCACATGCTGTTTTTCCCTTTGAGGGAGGGGGGGGGGTTACATAAATTTTATGAATTACATCATCAGCTGATTGTATACAGCTCCACACACTGGTTATTTTTCTCTAATTCACTCATTTACAATACTCGTCTTGATATTGTCTAAATCTAGCGCCATAAAGGAACAAAGTTGGAGACTGAAATCCATCTGCAGTCTCAGGGACCAGTAATATTCTTTATTTGATTTTACCAGGTCTATCATTTTACGTAATCGCTATGTACTAGTATACAAAGAGGAGTTTTCCTTGTTGCATATATGAGGGTTGTCCGGTAAAATCTCGAAAAATAATGGACGCACCACGCTGAAATTTTTTATCAATCATATTTAAGTACACAATAATTTTTTGGGATAAAATATAGCCAAAAATAAAGATTTATGCTTGAATGTGCAGAGGGTACGGTCCTACGACGCACGGTCAAAATACGAAAATTTTATTAGAGAATTAATACATGCAGTATTGATTTGAAATTCGATTCCACAATTTATTTCAAGGCATTTGTTTAATTTTTTGCAGTTTCCTGAGTTTTAGAAATGGAAAATTAGTGAACACAACACACCACTTTGATTTAGAAAAACGCCGTAAGAAACTTTAAAAGAATACAGAAGAAAAAATCCAAAAAAAAAGATCTTTAGTATGAAAATGTCTTTCCAAAAAAAAAAAAAAATCACCAGATCTTTAGTATGAAAATGTCTTTCTTGATCGAGTCCCCAGATAGTACAAAACATACAGACAAACTGCTATTGTAATCAAGTCCACTTTGATTTAAGATGGTTGAATAATAACGCTTACTAATAAATCCTCAGTAAGAAACTGTTTATGGAAAGAATAAATTCAGAAGAAAAAATATGTTTTGTATCTATATAAAAAAAAATTTGTCACTCTTCTGATTTCTACATCTTTTCAAAATGTTTTTAAAGAAATTGTGTTATATGCCATTTTGAAGATAACCCATAGGGGCTATATAAGAAATATGACTTCTTGTGAAATTTTTTTGTGAGGAAACTTGTTGATGTACCTTTACTTCAATGACAAATTTATTTATATAATTTTTGAGGAACGTGTCATCTGACCTTTTTTTTTTTTTAGGAAACGTAGTGAAAATTTAGAATCGGATATATATGAAAATTATGTTTATTCATGTACTAAGGAGTAGTGAAAAATTCAGAACGCAGTGATGATTATTATTCACGCTAGACAACTTGTCCACGATTTTACCGGACAACCCTCGCATAGTGAATACTACATGTATATGTTTTTATATTGATATTATCTTTTATCATTTATATACTAAACCTCTCCAATTTAATGAGGGTAAGACATTTAAAATGTGTAGAATATTTACACTATATATTACAATTTGACAAACGATACGTCTAAGACTTTTCAACCTTTCATGCGACCCCTCTTTGTTATCAGCAGACAAAGTCCGAGTCCGAGTTCCAACTCGCTATACTGGAAATGTCTATTGTGAATATATGTAAATACTTTTATCATTTGGCGCGAATAATACATAGAGAGAGTTAATAAATGTACATCAATAATACACAAGTTAATAACATGAAAACAGAACTTTGCTCGTTAATCATAAAGTGTTATGTAAACATTTTTATAATGACATTGTCGACTTCATTCTTACCTGACGCCATCCTATATCCGGATTTCTAAGAACGTCTGGCTGGACTCGCTAACTATTACAAAGTTTCACAGTTGAATATTTACTAGCTTTATTTTTTTAAGTTTGAAATGGCGACTTTCTGTTTGAATATCAAACCCTGTCTACAACAACAATCTTTCTGTGTTACAAGTATGTACTTCAGATATGACACAGCATCCTTATAAACTAGGTCAGCTTAAAAAAAACCATATATACAACAAGTGGGTTTTTTTTTCAAATTACGCTTCCTCCTGGTTACATTTCAAAGAAAGAAATTCTTCATATGTCATTACTTCATGTTTTACTTTTAATTTTCAGATGCATAATCAAGAACGCTGTAGGTTTACTGATACCAGCAAAAAATTTTGGATGTTTATTTTTAAAATTAGGTTCATGTATTGTGTGTATTTTACTGAATGACCAATCAGCTGAATGAATGGCAATTTTTATTTTCCTATGGAAACTCATTTTCTATTCTTTTTCGAAAGATATGAAATATATTTTAAAATTGGATATATTCTTTTACATTTACAAAATTTGATACAGTATTAGGTTTATTGTGAAGAACAAGCAGTTTTTTTTTTTTTCAAGTAGTAAGAGCGCGAAAAAGAAAATCCCAATTGACAGAATCTACCTTGCCTTGATGAATTTTACGATAATGTACAAAATGCTTAGAGTATTATTATTTTTCTTGGTAATAAAAAAATATTAATAGTGTATTATGAACATATATTTACATTTCCAATGTCTTTGTCCAAGATAAAATTACAAATTGTTAATGCACTTTATTTCCTCATCAATGTACTGGTTCATCGAATAGCGCGGTAAAAAAAAAACCACTTGCAGGATGGGACAAATATAGACAAGAATCGGGGCTTGTAGCACGTGGATTGACGAATTTTAGAGCATGCTAATATAAGGAATAACTGTCAGGTTTTTCGATTTAATGACAATGATCAATCGATTGGCTTGCGTGATAATTTTATGCATAAACGCCTTCGGCATTTATACATATTATCACGCGAGCCAATCGATTGATCACATCATGAAATCGAAAAATAAGACACTTATTCCTTAAATAGATATCAACGCCATTTCAAATATGATAATCATTTTATAACTGTCTTTGAGTGCATTAATGTATACAACTAAATCGTATACATGTAACTTTAAGAAGGTTTCCTTAAAAGAATTTTAAGTATAAATTCTAAATTTATTTTCGAATGTCAACTCATCGAACGAATATTCGAATACAGTATTTTTTGACATCCCTAGTTTAAAGAATTTTAAATATTGTATTGCCTAATTCACAACGCATGTTTTCATTCACTTTTATAAAGCTATAACGATGTCATTACGATAAAAAAGTTAAAGGTTTTTCGACAACATTAACAGCTTCTTCAAGAAAATTGGAACTTTGAAATGTCCTTGCCTTGTGATTTGTCAGATATAAAACGCTTTTGTTAAAAAGAACCATACTGCTTGTAAGCTAAATAAATACTTATCACAATCGAAGGTATGAAGCGGGTTCTGGTGAATGTTCTATCAAATCGCCAAATGTATCAGATCTATGTAACAATCTCGTATTAAAAGATTAAGGGGCAATATAAAAATCATTTATCCTTCTGTGTTCAACGACCCAGAGGCGTGAAAAGAAAAAAGAGATAGATTTCATGATATTCATGATCAGTATGTTCTGGTCCCTGCTGACAAAGACATAACAAAATCGTCTTTAATTTTAATATTTCTAAAGTTCATTATATAAAATGCATTTTAGAAGAACTTGGATTTAATTCTACAAGTGGTAATCAAACTGCTATTCATAGTTCCCTTTCTAAAGAAAAAAATCCTTCAAAATCAAATGTCAGTTTTGAATATTTTTAAGATCCCAAAGAACCAAAATGAATTTGAACTACTATATATAGGAGGGCTGTTCTATCAACATTTTCTCCATAAAGGACATATAATTTCATGTTCATCAACATCTTATAGAGAACGAATAAAACACTTGCGCAAAATTTCTTATATCTATAATAATTAGATAAGTTAAAAATAAACATGATTGAGGGGCAATATTAAAGTCATCATTTATCCTTCTGTTATTCATATAACATTACAAAAATCAAACAGTCTATATCTTTTCTTAGAGTTTGCGTGAAAATTTTTGAAATTAGCTAGATTAATCATGATTATGCAATTCATCAATACCGTAACGATATTAATATCGTGTGTCCTCATGGTCGTCCAGACAAATTAATTATGCAAATTAATTGGTATAGCAATGAAATAACAAACTATAACACATTATTTTTTCTCTTGTTATTGTTTTAGCAGTTTTCAGTCTGAAAAAGATTGACATTGCAATTTTCAGGTATGCTGAACTGCTGGATTTAATTTTTGTCTTGTTACAAGTAGTAATTTTTTTATGATCTTATATACATCAAAGTTGCACCTTAATTTGAAAAAAGTTGAAAAATTACACACTTAAACTGAATTATTATCGCTCTTATATGTCAGTTTTGAATATTTTCAAGATTTCCCAAAGAACCAAAGAAAATACTTAATATTGAAAATAATTCTATTATTTCGTAGTATGTCCATATATATATATTGGAAAATATACACAATGTCTCAATAATTTTCGAACAGCCCTCGTATATTGGATTCCGAAACTACATAAACATCCTTACAAACAAAGATACATAGCGGGTTCCAGTAAATGCTCAATGAAGTCTCTTTCTGTACTCCTCACTAAAATATAAATAGTAGGCTTAGTGAAGGAGAAACTTCAAGAGTACAGGGCAATAATATACAGCTGTACTTAACAAGTGGTGTAAATTAGATGGGGATAATTTCCAAGGAACTTTTGGACAATTTGAAATCATAAGGTTTAACAAAAATCAACAGCTTACAAACTTAAGGCTTTTCAAAGTCCAGGCTGTTTGATATCATTGACAGCTGCTTTTTCAATAAAAATGGAACTCCTAAATTTACTTGCCTTGTCACTGGTCATTTGCAAAATTATTTTGTTAAAAAAACATTTTGATTGTACACTTAAGTACTCTGAAGTTGACATTAAAAAGACGCTGGAGTTTCTGATTGACAACATCTATGTGGTTTTTGGAGAACAGATCTTCCAACAATCTATTGGAAT